TGTGGGAGCGAATTCTAGCCACTCTTTCGGCGGACGCTGCTCGGTTCTGCCATTGTTAGTGCTTGGGTTTCGGAAGAGGGGGGAGGTGCCTTAGCGTGGATGGAAGATTGGACGATTATGTGCGGACAAAGATGGAGAAGCGAATATGTGCTGCGGGAAGTGGATAGGTGATGATGACTACAGCGCGCCGCTTGACTTACAAGACACATACCAGCAGCGTAGGGTCATATCGATGCCAGACAACTTGCTTGAGTGATCACAATACTGGTACTCCCTACAGTACCTACTACTATGTCCTAACTTGCTTGAGTGATCACAGTACTGGTACTCCCTACAGTACCTATTACTATGCCCTAACTTGCTTGAGTAGAGTAGTAGTGGAGTAGGACTCTGCTCTACGACTAGCACCGAAGGATTAGTATATTCTAATCTAAAATAGTTACAAACTTCAATGCCCGAGCGTGGAACGACTACGAACCACCATCGGTGCTAACTCCAATCCCCAACAAACGTTCGCTGGTAGACATGGCAGTTGCAAACGCTCGCGACGCAGTTACAGTACGTGTGTAAGGGTGGCAGTTTTGTCAAATACTATGGCTTAAAAACAGTCCACCGTCGGCTGGAAATCTGACAGTTACGTGGGATTCGCTAGGATTGAGCTCGTGACGAACAATCGCCAGATATCATTACTAAAAAAAAGGTTAAAACACCCGGGGCTATAACTTGCACCGGCTGACCACTAACAATGATACTAACATAGTTGTAAAATGGTCAAAAACCGTGTCTACGTGGTGTTTGGAATTATATGCAAAAGAACTAGCAAGATGCACGTGCATTGCACGGAACATCAAGATGCATTTTTTTTACGGAACACATGTTGTGATTGACCCATGCAGGAGTAATCCCATGTGTAAAAACTAATGATATCTCGAGAATTTTATCAGAAAAATGGTATCTCGACCATTTCATCGAAAAAATGATATCTCGAGAAAGATGATAGATAAGGTGAGGAGGAGTGGGGTGTGGTGGTGACTGGTGGTTGGACTTGGCGGAGGCATGGTGATGGACGGCGCCGGCAGCGGCCATCATGCCAGATTGTTCCAGAGACTTTCTTTTTTTAATTGCTCAGCAATGAGGTTGTGGGAGATAAGGATGAACGAGGCAATGCCTTATCTGTAAATGTGGAGAGAGGTGAGGGTATCTTTTGTAAAATTGTCATAGTTTGCTTTCTATCAATTAGATATAGATCTGACGGTCTATACTATTAGATGGTAGGCACACCATCATCATCAACTCGGTTTTTTCTCTACTCCTACTCCTATAAAAGACTCAGTTGGTGATGATGGTGTGTCTGTCATCCGCATTTCTGACCATTAGATCTGCATCTAACGGCTGTGATGTAAGTTGTGGCCTTTTGCAACAATTCCCACTTCTCTGCTCTAGTTTACACAAAACCCCTTAGTATCTTGAAACCAACCACATTCCTCCCTTACCTCATCAAAACAGCCCAAAGAATATATTTGGAGTGAAACATAAGATATTTTTAGTGATATGTATATCAAAACTAAATTGTTTTCTTTCAAATTTGTGAATATGTATTATTCTATTTTGGATCCGTTGCAACGGATGGGCTCATTGCTATAAAGGTTTCTCTTGCATCGTCCGCAACGAACACCTGGTGTACTGGTTGTCCCCCGGCGTGCGCGGCG